ATTTTACCCTGTATCAGTTTTCTCCTGGGTAGTTTAATAAGTTTATTGTATAGTGATTGAATTTTTTCCCTAAAATTCTGTTTCTAGGAATAGCTTGGTCAATCAGAGTAAATGTGTACAGTTGGCCCTTCATATTAGCAGGTTCCACATCTGCAGATTCAAACAACTGAAGATTGAAAATATTTGGAAAAATAAATTCTAGAAAGATCTAAAAAGTAAAACTTGAATTTGCTGTGCTCTGGCAACTATTCACATAGTGTTTACATTGTATTAAGTATTAAAAGTAATCTAGAGATGATTTAAAATATGCGGGAGGATGTGCATAGGTTATATGCAAACACTTAACCATTTTATATAAGGTACTTGAGCATCCACGGATTTTGGTATCCTCAGTGGTCCTGAAACCACTCCCCTTGGATACCAAGGGAAGTCTATACTACTTATATTATGACATGAGAGCCATGTAATTCATGTTTCTTAAACTAGGTTATCGTATGATGGTAGGTCTCCCTTCAGAGTTGAGGTTCTTAATACCATTTGGCAGTCTTGTGAATCCTTTGATTCTTGTTTGGGAATAATCTTTCTGAATGTATAAAATGAAATACATAGGATAACAAAGGAAATCAATTATATTAAATAACAATTATCAAGATTTTAAGTTGTGATATGTTTCTTTATTAATGAATTAAATAACAAGATCTAGCTGCAGGTCTAAAAACTACCATATTCTCTAGGTAGTAATAAGCGTGAACAGTGTTTTAAGATGTCTGCAATAGTTGTGATATAAAGTCATGTATGATTTCTATTAATGACAAAGTCTCATGTATTGCTAATACTGGTATAGTTAGTTTCCTGCATTCAAAATTTAAGGAAGTGTAAATTTCAGTGAAAATTAAGGAGTATTTTTTTTTCCATTCAAGTTTTCGGTTCTCTGCTTTAGAGAGTATTGGTCTTTGTTTTTATTTTTAGTTTTCATAGATGTCACAAACTGTTGCCATACTCCACTGTTTTGGTTTTGCCCTAGATATAGCACTCTGGCTTTTATACTATTTAATTGGTCCTAGTTTATTTTAACTACAAAAATTCTTGATTTGAGAGGTCTGTTCTCTAACATTTTAACATAGCCACCCAGGAGTTTTTAACTAGGGCCTTGAACATGGTGGAGTGTTATCTCAGACTCCAAGGGAGGGAGTAAAATTCCAGAAACAGCAGCAGAATGTGAGGAGAGCACTTTTGTTCCCCTGTCCTGAGAGTTAGAGTATTTTCTGTTAAGAAGCATTTGTACGGAGTATTTACTTAAAGAGATGTGAATAGTGATACCCAAGATCCAGTTTTTGCAAGTATATACATTTGTTTAGAACTTTGTAGTTCATACAGCCATTCAAATACAGTATCTTACTTGATAATTACAGGTCCATGAAGTAGATTTGACAAAGTTATTATTATTCCCATATATATGGGATATGGAAACTGAGGCTTAGTTGCTTATTTGAAGATAAACAGAGCCTTACATCTTTAAAGATACAGATTATTGCTTTGTCAGATAAATGTAATCATTTTGTTAGATGTATGATTGTTCTTGGGATTAAACATATGAATTTAGGAAAACAGTTTTTATGTTTGAGGTGGAATCTCTGATTTTATATTTCCTAAAATGTCATTGAAACCTCATTTTATAAAGGCTTATTAGGGGGATTGTTAATCCTATTTTCATGACCTTGAACTGCTCTTTTCACACCAATTGAGTAATTTTGCCCTATTTGATTTGCCATGAAAACACTTTGGACTTTGATAAAAGGGCCAGCATTTGATCACTTTGTAGTACATGCATAAGTGCAATGTTTGTGGTTGTTAGTTACGGGAGAAAAACAAAAGGACATTTGATTATTCTATAACAGAATGTGGAATATGTAACAATACATATTTGGAATAGGTTTTATAAGGAGGTAAATAGTAGATACTCAAATACTGATTAATGAATACATTTTTGATTAATGAATGAGTTAATTGATTTCCATGAGTTATTAGGAAGAAAAGATACAAGCGTGAAAACATGCTGATTCTAGGATGGCAGGATTTAAATAGATTATACTACAGTAGGTAACTCCTACATGAGAAATGTATATACTTTCAGTAAAATTCACACTAGTTCAGAGTAAACTCTTGGTATAGAAATTCTGTAGGAATTCACTAAAATCAAGTAGATTGACTATCTTTGGTGCTGTTGGGGTTTTTATTACTATTTTTCACTATTTTTAGTGTTATGATTTGCCAGATTTATTTTTCTGTCTTGTCTTTACTTGTAAAGTGCCAATTGAAGGGGTCCAGACAGTAATGCTGCAAGGTTTCAGAGGAAGGACCTCCATTTACTAGGATATTTGTGGAATAAGTGAGATCCTCTGTGCTACCCTGAAGTATAAATAGCATCTAGCCAAGCAGAAAGGTGTGGAGAGGTATTCTAGGAAAATGGAATGGCATTAGGAAAGTATACAGGGGATGTTTCAAAGTGAATAATTTTAATTAGATCTGAGGGTTTGTGTTGGGCAGGAAATGGTTAAAGAAGTATTTTGACGTCAGATTATAGAAATCCTTGAACACCTGGAAGAGATTTGGATTTTGCTTTGTAGGCTTATGCTCTTGTAATTGGGGTACACATTCTTGTGAGGGCACAGCTAAATGAGATATGCAAGTCATGGTAGAGGAGAGGTGGTACACAAAGTTAATTGCAAAGCCAAAGATGCCTCCTGGGTTCTAAGCTTTTATGAGTGGAAGCATGGTAGTGCCATTAATATATATAAAGAAATAAGGCATGGACATATATACACTA